TACAATAATCTTGTGAATGATGTTCCTGCAGCAGCCAATCACAGGCCAGCATTGGAGTGTCGACGCCTCAACGATGTTGTGAGCAGTCTGAAACCTTTGTGCAGTCCATCGAGTCAAGTTGTTTCTTTTTTCCTTCCTCAGCTGATGTTTCAAAGCTTTAATTCTCCAGGAAATTCTCCAAAAAAGAAAACCGTACGTCTCCATTTGGTCCACTAGGATCACTTCCTTCCTTTGAGTCTTATTACAGCTGCTGGTTGTGTGCTTAGCATTTGAAAAAGCCCACTCTCCTGTGGCTGCTGCTTCTTATCCAGTGCAACACTGCCCTCAAACAGGATCTGACAGCTTGAATTAAAATGACAAGAAAAAAAAAAACAAAAGAAAAAAAACAGATGTACCCCCCTAAAAATAAAAAAATATAAAAAAAATAATATAAAAAATTGAGATCATTTCCGATCGTGTTAGCTGAAGACTGAGGGCGTCTCTTGTTTGTTCCACTTTCCCGATTGCTTGCTGAGCTTCAGTTCGCTGATGTGGAGCCGATGCCGTCATAACAGCTTGTCAATCACTGCGACTCCTGAAACAACGAGAACGGGACGACCAATCAGACAAAGCAGATTTACAAACAGGTAATACGTGTTCAGCCTGTCACGTTCATTTCTCCCAGTACTGTAGAAATACTGCCTGCAAGGAGACCTACCAGCATAACTCCGTCCATTGCTCATGTTGGTGGGAATGAGGCTCCACTTGTCTGTGGCTGGGTTGTAAAACTCTACAGAGGACAGATTGCAGGACCCGTCATCTCCTCCAATCACATACAGCAGCCCGTTAATGGCACAAACACCTGGGGGGGAGCAATGTAACATGTTTATTTTAAAGATCAGCACATTTATCATTAAATGACCCAATTTACAAAATAATCAGCATACACCACGTTTACGTGTGTTTTATTAGCAATACAGGAGAATAAAGGTTTTTAGTCATCTCTTACAGATCTAATATCTTTAAAGCACAGGCCAGTAGATTACATGAACATCTTAAAGCCAATCTGAACATCATGCAAGAAAATGTTGTGAATATTTGTACATGTAAATCTAATAAATGGCTCTTACCCATAAACGGCAGCTGAATAGTTATTTATTAGTAACAATTTAAATAACTCAAGGATCAAAAAGAAAGGCAGTCATCAGCTTTTCATAAAGCTTTAGCCAGAGCGTACGATAAATAGATCGATAGATGCTGTGGACGTGTGACCGCAGTCTGACCTGCGTTTCGTCGACACATGTTCATGTCGCAGACCAGCCTCCAGGTGTTGGTCTGTGGGTCGTACACCTCCACGCTCTTTCTCACCAGAGGACCGTCATGGCCTCCTGCTGCATACAGCTGACCACCCAACACACCCACACCTGGACAAAAATATTTTTTAAATAAATATCAGGAGACGGTGACAGTGAAATCCTCCAAAACCCAAAATATAGTGCAAATTCACCACAAATGAAGCACTTTAACAAAACAAGTTCTGATTTTGTTCAGATTGTTTTTACAAAGCAGTTAGCGTCCACCAGGGGG